CTTTACTGTGTTGCAGACATAAACAGCCTTAGTGCAGTATTGCCACTTACGCTGTGTACTCTCTCTCTTTGATATACACAGTCCCAGCATTAATAACAACAGGAGGGTTTGGAAAAGCGAGGAAAAAAAGAGCTGCAGCTGATGGCAATGAAAGAGCAGGGTAAGTTGGAGGCTCAGCACAGGGGCTCAGTCATATTCCACCTTCAACGTCTCTCTGGTTGCAGTTTTGGGCCCAGCTTTTTGCTGATCATAACTGACGTTTCCCAGCAGAAGGGCAGCACTTCACTAAAGCAGGGTGCTGCTCTCCCCTCAACGACAGCAGTATCTGCAGTGCATCTGAAGATTGTGGGTCTGCCTTGATGTAAGGCCAGTACAAGACTGAAATTCAGCTCTTCGTTTGTGGCATCGCTGCTGTTTAAGGTTGTGTGATCAAAAAGCCAAAGACCATTCACTTCAGCTCTTCCTAATGTGGAATCTGGTGCAGTTTGCACTTTTTTTACATAAATGGGGTAAATTCTCAGGGGGCAGAGTTTGCTATCTTATTGCATGGGAAGCACATCCCTCTCCCATTTCAGCCCCCCTTGGCTGTAACAGGTGCCTGTTTTCCCCTGCAGCACTGTTGCACAGCACAAGTACAGGGAGGGTTGTGCAGAAAGCTCTGTTGCATTTTACCTTCTGAGACACAGCCATCTCTGTGTGTGCTGCTCTACCTCCGGGCTGGTGCCTCAAACACAGGGGAGCTGGCATCAGCCTTCCCAGTCCTCTTCTTTCCCAGTTGGGGTCATCACTAGCAGCGACACAGTGCTGATGGGAAAGGTTATCTTCCACCCTGTAACCCCTCGTACACAGCTTTGAAAGCTAGTTATTCTCCAGGGGGTCTTATTGCAGTCCCTGGTGATTTGCCTGTTTCTTGTTAAGAGCTGCCATTCCTGTAAACACTGTGTGGAGTTTCCCAGAGCTGCTCTTGCAGTATGAAGCAGCCATGCACTTGTTGATTTATCTCCCCACATGCTGTTGTACATGTAAGTATTTCCATAGTGTGTGGGTGCATCCATCCCCCTCACTTAAGTGTCTGAAGGAAAGAGCATCTGTTCACACTGAGCCTCCCTTGGACTCCTCATTAGTTGAGCCTTCTCCCTGTAAAATTAAAAAATGTGAGCACAGCTCTATTGCACGCGTATTTATCCTTGCTTTCTTTCCTTCAGATAAGACAAGGAAGCAAACTGCTCGCACGGTTCAGTGTGCCACTTGAAGGTGTTTGGAAATCCCCGTGATGACTGATACAGAACCAGTCTAGACTAGAACCCAATTGTCTGCTGTGTTTATAGGCGATTACTGAACTTCCTTGGTTTTCCCCTCCAAGCAAGGCCTGTTCTTTTGGGCTTTCCTCTCAGGTTTGGTTAAAATCAGAAGTGCAGAAAAGTCTGAGCAGGGCAGAAGTGCTGTGTCAATCTAGTAGTCCTCCCACTGAGATGTGACAACCTCACTCTGTCTCTTAGGAGGGGGATCATAACAAGGAAACCCTTTACAGACCAAATCTTAGCTCCTGTTGCAAGTTGCTCTACAAAACCCATTATAAGTAACTGAGAGTAGATGATAGAGAAAGTGTGGTTCAGCAAATGGATACCAGACTTGGAATCAAAAGACCCATCTGTTGTTTTTCTTGGCTTTAGTCAAATGCTTGACCAATCTGTGTCTCTATTTGTAAAAACAGATGCCGGTAATACCTGATATTTTTTGATATGTCAGTTGAAAACACCAGCAGAGTAGTTTTATTCCCTATCTAACCTTGTCAAAATGCAGGTACACCACATGTTCTGGTTTTTATGACCTTGGGGGGGAGGGGTGTGTGTGTGTTTGTTTTTTGGTTTTCTTAATTAGCCATCTGTGGTCACCCAGTTTAGTCTTCCAGTCCTGTGGAGGGCTCTAATCTGGTTATTGAACTAACCTACTTGGTTATTTTGGCTGCAGGTACTGTGTTGAATTCCAGCTTGTGGCCATCACGCCGGGCTGCTTGCACAGCCACCACTCCTACACTCACTGGATGCAGTATCTCAGGGAGGGCCACACTGTCTGCGTGGAGTGTCAGCACCCGGCTTTAGATTCCAGAAGTCTACATTGTTACGGGGATGGCAGTGGAAGCAAAAAGTAAGAGTTTTAGCTTTTGTTTTCATGTTGAATTTTTCATTCTTCTCCCTTGATCTGCTTGTCCCAGTTTCATAATGTGCTGCATGCAGCTCTCTGGAGCACTCTACATATATTAACTGTTTTTTGTTGCATACCATGAGTTTCTTGCAGAGATGAAATGACCTGGTGAAGCTCACGCATTAAACCAGTGGCAGAGCCAGGACTGAAGTGTGGGAGTACCTGCACTTAGTCTGCTAAATCTCACTGACTTTTAAGTGACATAGTTGTGGAGTTTTTTTGTTTTAAAGACACTCCAGCCGTGCTTCTAAGGTTAACAGTCCTGTCAAATGTCAAATAAAACCAAATCTGTTTCTGATTTTTAAGCACTGGGGATTTTGTTTCTACAAGTGACCCTTTATGAGTATTTCTGGCAAGTGGCAGCTGGCATAGGGACTTGGGGTATGTGCTGGCACCTGAGGTTGGATGGAAGTACTGTTAAATCTTTGCACTTTCAGCATCCTTTCCCTGGAAAGCTGAAGAAGCTTTGGGGTGATGGATGGGGACCACCCAGATTGTACAAATTGGGCAGACTCCAGCAAAGATAAAGGGAATGGCTTGAAGCTGTGAAACACATCTGTGGCAGAGCTGGCAACAGAGGAGTCCTGGCACCCAAGCCTCTGCTGTTGTCCTTGGAGGCACAGCTTCTCCACTGCTTTTATCCTGACACTCTTAACCCCGTTGCTAGTTTATTAAAGGCATCCTCTGAAACTGGTTAGCAGCCCTGCCTGAGAAAATCATTGCCCATCAGTGCTGGGCAGGGGTGTTTTTAAAACTTACATAAATGTTGAAATAAGCAGGTTCATTTGAATTAGAAACTCTAAACTGGGATTGTCAGGCCTCAAGCACACTACCAAAACTGCCAATAATGGCCTTTTTAGGCAGGGTTTTTCTCAGGCTTTTAGTAAGAGGAAGTTACATTAGAGTCTTTTCCTTCCCTGCCTGTACAAAGGTTCCAAAAGCTTTTAGATAAAGAAGAAAAAAGTCTTAACTGGTGTGGCCAGGAGTAGCTCCTACCTGCATCCAACATGTAAATGAATATAAAAGCTTACAATAATGTTATTTTGCTAATAAAATGGTAGAGTTTTTGTAGACTCCAGAGTCCTGGAGTCAGACAGGAACATCAGATTAAGCGAAATAAAAAATAGATTCAGGAATTCGTTTCCTCATTGGGCTGCAAAAAGAGGGGAGCATTTTCATTCGCCTGATCTGGTGAACAGCTCTGTACGTGGACTGGAAGCACAAAGAAAATGTGACTGTGTCCTTTAGGAATCATGATCTGATTGTCAGGTGTTGGCAGGCTGATGGCTGGAGAGGGGTAGCGATAATGGAGTTGGGGTGAATGGTGACTGGCTCACTGAAGTCAGCACTCAGCCCATGTCTCAGCAGATGGTTTAAATCCATCCCAATTGAGCAGAGACTAGAAATTGTTCCCAGAGTCTTGCTGGAGGGCTGTAAGATGGTCGGTCCATTTCATTATAGGCATGTGAGACCCAGCAGGGTAAGCCAACTTTTAACACAGTGAGCTTTTACCCCTCCAGTGTTACTGCCTATAATGTCAAATGAAGTCATGTCTGTGACATTTTCTAGGCAGGTATGAGCTCTCTCAGTGTGTGCCCAGCTGAGGTACTGCGTGTGTTCGCTTGGGTTCATTGCCACGGTAGTAACATAGGCTTGGAGGACAGGCAGGGCTGGCCTGGGCTGGCCTGAGCAGTGGACAAAGCTCCTATCTACAAAAGGCAATGGAGATGTACTTTAAGCCTCCTTGAACTGGCAGTGCTGGGCAGCTTTGTCAAAGATAAATGTGTGACTGACAGGTGGAACATGAAAGATGTCCCTGGTCTGCAGCTTCCTCATCCTCTGTGTGTGTGTGTGAAGCCTCCCTTACATTTCACATGGATCTTTTAGATAACTCCCACGTATCCCCTAGATAGGTAACCTCCAGGGCATGGTCTGGTGTTCTTTATCACTATTTGACCTTACAGTGGTGGGTCAAGGAGACTGTTGTCCAGGGCTGGGTATCTTGCTTGATTTTCTTGATATCAACATCTCAAGTGCAAGTATTTACTATAGGTGTTCTTTATATGAACAGAGCTATCCCCTAATTTGTTTCCAGAAATAATACACTTTTTTTACCAGGTTGCATGGAGGAAAAAACTGGCCTCCGTGATCTCTGAGAATAAATTGGACTGTTGGTGGGGACAGACATTGAATGGGGTGAGGGAAATGTCTGTGAAAAGGCTTCTGCCTTCTGTTAGAGTAAGCGGCCGTATCTGAGCATGCAGTCCTGCAAGGGAGCAGCGCTCTGAGGGGGTCGTGTGGTGAGCTCCTCAGGCTGGGATTTGCTGGCCAGATGTGGAGGGCATAAATGTGTGATGCTTGTAAAGAAAGGTCGAAGAAGATGAGAAAGCAACTGCTGCCCTGAGATAGAGGATGGTGGGAGGCCAAAGCTGATGCCGAAGCCTAGGATGCAGCATTTATTGAGTTTGCCTAGATCTGCTCACAAGTCTCTGGCTGTATACTCAGTTCACCCTCATTTTGAATTTTTGCTGGTGTAACTCTGCCAGGGGTTGTTGATGTGGACGGTTTGTGGTAACCTCAGAGCGGTGGTTATGCCGGCTGATCTGTGCCATCGCGTGCTGGCCTGGGTCTCTGGGGCTGCTGGCTGGGGCTGTGCGGGGAAGCACGCATGGCTGCTGCTGTCCCACCCATGCCGTGCCTGCGCTTTGCTTCTCACCCTGTCAGTTCGGCAGCCTGTGCCAGCGTTTAGTTCCCCAAGATATTGTTCCGAGTGACTCTCAGGAAGGACAACATCTGACAGAGCTTAAAATAAACTCAGCAATGCTGGTATATTTTGATGAGTGTTTCCTAATTATCTTCTTGTGTCTAAGTGTAGTCTGGCTTGTAAATGCTTCAAGTTAGAGAGATACTTGTTATCTGTGCCTTCCACCTGTCTCCCACTCCGTAGAAGATGCTAGTTCATTTTGACCCCTGTTATGCAAGCTCAGGAAGTTTTCCAAAGTCCTTGATTTATGGCCAGATCTGTGGCCATCAGGTGAGGATAGCTAGGATAACCTAGCTTGCATTGGCTTCTTTCTTCTAGAAGGTTTTAAGATAAACAAGGCAGAGCATCGAGCCGGGAAATTGATCTGTTAATTTTGGATCGTCTTCTGAAAGATCTACAAATCAAGCACAGACTTGACATCTGTGAAATTGTTACTCAGCCTGTGTCTAGGAGGATCAGCTGCTCTTCATCATGTGGAGCAAGATGTGGCAGTTGTAGCCCATAAATGTCCAGACTGCAGCAGTTTATGCCCATGCTCATGGGGCGGAGGGAGAGAGAGGATGGATGGACTTGATTTATAGCAAAGTCAGTATTTGCCTTCCCCACCAGCGAGATGAGAGTAAGCAAATTTAGCTTATGTGTTTAAGGAGCAAAGCCTTTTAAAGGTAAAGCTGCAGCCCAGAGTATTGAAGGGTATGGGACTGCTCTGTGCGCAGCCTGCTTTATCTGGGATCTTAATCCTCCCTGTGCAGATTCTGGTATTTTGAAATGACCCCAAGCCAAAAGAAAAATACAGTGAGCCTTTTCCAACCACGTGTGATGCATAAAACCCTGCTCTGGAGCATGACATCTCATTAAACTGAGGCCAGGGTTATCTTTGTGGAGCTAGAGCAATAATTCCAGTTTCCACAGAACTATAAAACAAGCAGAAGTTAGGGGTCTGTTGGGCTTTTCTGTGGGCAGCTTTCTGCACAGGACAAGTGTTGATCTAATGTGGTATTTGTACTTCTCCAAAGGTCAGAACTGGGACACACTGATGTGAAGGATTCCCTTAAACCACTAAATGCTAAAATCTGGGAAGGAGCACAGTGCTATAGCAAAATTTCAGTTTCTGTGGCTTCTAGACCAGTGTTGCGTGTGCAGCCACTGACTGTGAAAAATGGCCTGTGGATTTGCTTGGTTGTTTTAATAGGATATTTCTCTGGTTCTGGTCAATGTATTGATGGACTGCCTGGGAGAAAAGGGGTTGTTGGTTTTTTGTCCTCTACTTGAGGCCTGTAAGCAACCTTGTTCCAACACTTGTGGGCCTGGTACCTCGAGCCAGCTGCCATCCAGGAGCCGTGTTAGCGTGTAGCTCTTAGCAAGGCAGAAAAGCTTAGGCAGGTGTTCCACTAACGTGGTTATCCAGAGATGCCCATGTCCCTGCACCTGCTCACACAGACATGTGCTGTGTATTGCGTGCTTGGTACTTAGTCAGCATCTTGATGGCTATGGGTGGCCATAGAGCTCTGCCTGCTGAGAGGGAGCATGGTGTTATAAAGAAAAATGGGGAAAGAGGTGTTTTGCCCACTTTGCAACCTGTCAGGTGTTTCAGTACAGGAGTTATGGGGATGTGGGTGTGCTTCCTGAGTTGTTGCATGCAATGCTGGGCGCCCCGAGGGAATGTTTCTGTGAATCCTTTTGGACTTAACATCTACAGTATGTGCTGCTCTGGGTTCTTCCAGTCCAGTGTTCCTGGCTGACTGTGGCTTTACTTCACAGTATTATAATCCTATGGGGGTCACTGTGGTCGCTTCTTCTTTACAGTGTTAGAAAGGCAGAATTGGGTCCGTGGAGTGAAAATCGATATTAGCAAACTAAATGGCATTTACTGGGTGATTTAAGCCCTCACTGTACAAGTGACTTCCCTGCAGCAGAGGTGCAGCACATTAACTTTCTCCCTGTTATGACTGTGTTTCAGGAATCAGCTGTTGCACTGGCAGGCAGTAGGGAACCCTCGATGCAAGGGAACCTGGAAGAGAATTCGCCAGCTGGACACTTGCTCCTGTCCTTCTGTTCACAGCTTCTTGTTCATCTAACTTCTCCTGACAGTCCCAGCAAGCGAGCGCTGTGATAGCTTGTCTGGCACAAACGTGCGGCAGCAGTAGTAACCACAACCAAAACAATGACTTCTCCAGAGGCTATGCCACTTAATTTCAAGAGGTTGCTGTCTGCACTGGGGCATCCTCAATCCTCTCTGTCCGTGTGTACTCCTTGATTTCCAAAGAAATCAGGCTGACTGTGAAATACCATTTTCTTTCTGCACCACATCCAGTCCTGCTGCCTCTTCTGCCTGAGAGGCCTGTCTGACCCTGATGGCTTCTTGCAAATTCCCCCTTTCTTGAGAGGAATGAGAATTCACCAAATAAGAAATCAGACAAAAAAGGCCATATGAACCCAGGTTTAATTATTATTTTTCCAAAATCTCAATGAAGAATCAATAATACAAAATAAATTAACTCAAGTGCCTTCTTTTCATGGCAATGGCACTTCTTTGTGGATGCTTTCTGCTTGTGCTTATATATCTTTTCCTTTTGTTTTCACCCTCCCTGGTCTCATCATTTCATATTGATCCTCAGTCTTACAGAGGGTGGATCTTGCGCTGCTGAGATAAAGGTAAAACGTAGAAATGAGCCTGTTCAAATCTGTGAGAATAGAAGGTACCAGGGATAAATGGGCCCTTGGACTTCAGGTTTCAAGGAGCATCTCCAAGTTGCCCAAAAAGGCAGTGCAGTCCTGGGACTCTAAATAGGAAGTCATCCCAGCTGTATCAGGAGGGCTAGCTATAGCCTTGTATTTTTGACTGGAAAATATTTGAAATATTTTTTTATATTCTGCTGGATTTATATTCATACTTTTCTATAAATGAAAATAAAGGAGTCTGGAGACGTTCTCCCAGTGTGTGTCTATTGATTAATCTGTGTTGTGCCATCTTTAGTGCCTGAACCTGCCTAATTTGTTCCAGCCAATCTTGCCTCTGACTCCTCTGCTCCAGCAGGCAAGACTGGAGGAAAAGTCGCTGCTGTCCAATTCTACTCAGGATTTACAGGTGGAAGTCCAGCACCATGACCTACCACTATGCAGAAATGGATGTGATACTTCTTTTAATATACCATAGTTCTGAATCTGCTTAAATAAAATTACAGCAAGGACTTGCACTTTGTGGCAGAGCACTGCAGTGACGAGTGTCTAGGTAATTAAATTTGTCAAAACCCAGATGAGTGGCTGGGGGTGGCTCCAGAAGAGAGTTTTAATGCTCAAGTCCGACTCTAGTCTAGATTTGGATCATGAAACCCATCTAGTGACCATATTGAGGGTCCTTCATGAAAATATTAAAGGGCACTGCAGATACGTGCTTGAGATGCTTAGAGGAATATGTGTAGTACGGCACTGACGGGCCTGAAAGCGCGTGATGCCTCTTGGCCAGTACAGTAGGGATTTGAGAGCAAGGCTCTGCTTTTTATTGTATGTTACAAGCTCTCTCTGTGGATTAATGACTCACAGTGGGGTGATCTCATCCCAGAGTAGCAAGATTTAAAAAAAAAAAAAAAGGAGGAAAAAAAAAAAAAAGACTTGTGCTTTGCTGTCTGAGATAATCTGTAACTAACTTGTGGCCTGCTCAGGAGCGCTCACTGGTTTGTGAGCAGAGGGATGCGATCCTCTGAGGGATGGCTTGGGAATAAATAACTAGAGTACATAATTTCGGCTTTTGCACTGAGGAATTTCTATCAAGGTGGAAGCCAGTTTCTGCTTCTTGGTGGAGATATGTAATCATAGTGGCATTTAGTCATTGGAAGGTTTTCTTTGTCCTGCAGAAGCCCTGTATTGGGCCACAGGACCGTAAAGAGGCGGCTGGTTATTTCAGGAGCAGAATGCAGCCAGCTATTGGAAACATTTTTCATTTTCAAAATCTACCCAAACTTTTGAAAACATGAATCCCTGCACTTATCAGATGCTTTCAGAATTGAGTACTGAAGCTATAAAGGATGCAATTTTTGCGCTGAAGCTATAAAGGATGCAATTTTTGCTTCATAATGCTTAAAAAACTTAGTCTTCCAAAAGTTGTGTTCACCCCAATGCCCCTCTCCTACAACATCAGAGCCAGCTGGGTAGGAAAAGATTGTATCGCAGAGTTATAAATGATAGTGCCATGTGGGAAAAGCTTTTATTCTAATCAATGAAACAATGTGGCACCTTAAAGCACCTTAATTGCAATCCCTTTAATTTACCGGGTACTTAAGCATTAGCTGTACTATATTTGTGTGTAGGAGATTATCATAGTACTTGCTGTCAAATATTTAGTCCTGACATTAATCTGTTTTATTGTGACCCTTTCAGGAAATGGTGATTGGCATCTGCCATGAGTAAATGGTGTGAAACACCCTCCCTGACCCCAGCCCTTGTTGAAAATAGAAGACTACCCTCCTGCTTCAGTCTCTTGAGAATAAGTGAGCCTTAAGAGAGGTTCTTTTGATAATACTTCGTCCTATTCTGGCAGAAACTGTAGGAAACTCTAGCCAGTTTCAATATAAGTTTGATGTGTAGGAAGTTTGCAGAATCAGTCTCTTAGGTGAGTGAAGGTAGCTGTGGAGAGTTGAGAAGTTTGAGGATAGGCTTCTCAGAAACTGAGTATTCTGGGTCAGGTCACTACAGAATCTGGGCTTGATTATATTTTTTGGAGGCTCACAGTAAGTTTGCTAAAATGCATTTTAGATTGACCGAAACTGCTTGTGAATTCATGCCACATTTGATGATTAGTCCTCATAGATGGAGAAAGAGGAAAGAGGGGGATTTAGAAGTGGTGAAATGTTTTTCTACCTCCTAAGTGAAGTGTTTTGATCTTTGATTTTGGAATTTTATTTCAAGATTGAAACAATCTGAGTCAAACAAATTATTTCATTCAACCCCCTCATTGTTTTCAAATTTCTGTTTTGAGGAAAGTATTGGAGAAAAAAATCATCATTTTAATTGACCAAAATTATTTATTTATCAATAGTGTTCTCTTTTGGGTCCTGCTTGTGAAACAGATGTGATACTAAATTAGTGATCACAAAATAGTCTGTTCCTACGGCCAATGACTTGTTGGTCAGGGTTTTCTTTGCTGCTGCCTCATCCCTGAGAGCTGATAACATGAGGTCCTAACAAGAGCTGCCGATGGTGGCATGGTAGGACTTCCAGTCTTTTGCTTCTGTCACCGTAGCCTGAGGATGCAGGAGTATGAAAAATTTAGCCCCTGAGGGACCCTCACAGCAGCTATATTTCTACACAGGCTATGTCACTTGATGAAACAAGACATTGCAAATGTCTCAGTGCACCGGCGCATCCTAAAAAAGGTGGTGCGGTGTGCTGGCTTCACCTCCACACCTTGGGTAACTGTACAAAGAAATCCTGTTGGTAAATTCCTGGGGGAAGGAATGAGACATGCAAGTGTGTGTGAGAGTGAGCGAGCAAGAGTGAGCTTTTTAAGTAGAAGATAATGAAGCTGTCAGATCACTTCTCCTGCAAATAAAGATTAGCTCATGATGTAGACACGTACTGGGTCCTGCATGTTTCCCTCTAGGGACTTTATCATCGTCCATCATAATAATGTCCATAATTTCTACAGCCTGGGTTTTGGGAAAGATAAGACTAATAGAAATCCAAGGCAAAATATTCCTGAAAAATGGCTTGGTACAGTAAACAAGCAAGGCAGCCTCGCGTTGAGGAGAGGCTGTTCACTGAAGATGACAGCCGTTCCCATGACAACGCTAAAAACCTTTCACCATTGGGTATCAACAGGAGAACACCTCCCACGGCAAGTACATGAAGCCAGGAGCTTAGTCCTCATCTCCCATAAATCATCCTGTTGGGCACCGATAATGAGGAACTGCCAGTTGTGCACACACAGTTCCACCTTCTAGGCACCAGCCTGGCTCCAGATGAAAGGAAGAGCAAATAAAGCCAAAGCGCCAGCGAGCTGGATTTATGTAAAAGGAAAATTAAGCTCGACTGATGTTCCTACACTTCCCTCTGCTCTCCAGCTGAGGATCTCAATTTTTAATGGTGAAAAGCCAAGCAAAAATCCAGGCCACTTTACAAACCGCTGAAGACGATTGTTGAAGGAGCCATGTGATTTTCTCTGTTGTAGAGAAATCTTTCATCGTCATGGGATGGAGAGAGAGGGAGGCCCTGGGAGAATTCTGCTTTTCTTTCCCCTAACCCTGTAGCATCCAGCCTGTGATTCAACCAGTTTTCTTCCACGTTCAAAATAGAAGGTGGTAAAAGACCATTTTTCACCATGGGATCTTCATTAGGCCTATCAGCTCCCTGAGTGTCATGATATGTGTGTCTCAGCTTCTGCAGTCATCTGAATGTGTAAGGATCTGCTTCCTTTTTAAAGGAAAAAACACTTAGGCATTTGGAAAAAAGATTTTAAAATGTGCCCAGAAAGCTCAGGAGCCAAAGGTAAAGAAAAAGAACAACAAAAAATGTAATTTTCTTAAATACCCTTGTTGCTCTAAAGGCAAACTTCTTTTTTCTTTTGCTCAGTGGCCAGAGGAGTTGAGCACATTCTACTCGAACAGAAGCAATGCTTCTCCATAAATAAGGCTGTTCTGTTATCTTTAGCTTTTCAAACCTAATTTTTTTTAATCCTTCATTTTGGGTATTTTGAGTATTTAAATATTAAGATCACTGACTCCTTTTTTCTTTTTTTTTTTTTTAATGAAGTTTTTTCTGAAGTCCTTTCCAATTATAAAATTAGGTGCTTGGTGATAGTCGTGATAATGCAAGTGGAGGAGTAGAGGTGAGAAAGGAGAGGAGAGTCTGAACCAGCAGAGATTATTCTGTTCTCTAAATATGTCTCCTGCAGCTTAAAACCACAAAACAAAATATTAGCAAGAGACTTTTTTTTTTTTTTTCTTTTTTAAACACTGTGGTTCTCCCATTCTCAAGCTGGGTGAAATACATTCACTTACAAAGGCTGTTCTATGTATTCTGCGAATCACCACCTTTTTAAATCCACAGGGTTATGCAGGGTCTCCAGACTGCTGCTCTGTGGTATCCACAGTTGCTCTCGTCCCATGACACATGTACACAACACTAGTGGGACCTAGACACACATTCAGGACAGGAGGTGCTTGGCTGCATCTTGTAAACCTGTTAAATGTGTATTGGAAAGGGAGAAAGCTGGAACCATGGTGCAGTTTATAGCACAATATTACCCTTTTTTCATGAGTTCAGGCACAGTGTGTGACCCCACGCTCCCCCAAAGCCATGTGTTCCAGACCCTGGTCCATTCTGGAAAGGATGTGCAAGGTTTCTTTTTATCACCATTCCCTAATCCTCAGGGCTGAAGAGCTGATCCCTGTGCAGAGGTCAGCATCGCTCTGGGTCTGTGCATTGTTTTCTTGCTGTTACTTGCTGTGCTCAGAACTTGTTTTACTTGAGCTCTGTTGTGGCCTTTCCATACTACTAATTGTGTGCTTTTGAATTACTGGAAGGGTGTTGTAGGGTGATGCCAGCACTAGTGGGCTTTCACCTTCCTCCACTTTCATAACAATCCTCAGACCAATTAACCAATTCTCGATTTATTCCTTGCATGCTATTTCAGCCATTAGCAGGTGGAGCAGAGGCTGTCTGAAAAATGGGAGTTGCTCGGCCCATTCTGCTGGCAGTGAAAGCCGATGCTGCTCTGGCTTGCCTAACCCTGTGCCTTTCTGCTCACCCACAAGCTAAGCCTGATCTGTGAACGCTCAGAGCTCCTGTTTGAGAGCACAAAATGCAGCTGGACACCTTCCCCCTCTGAGTGCAAGTGTGTCTACATCTGTGGCGGGCTCCCCTGAAGCAGCACCCGTGACCCAATTCTGCATCCTGGCTGCTGGGACAAATGGTGGGATGTAGGAGA